TTTTCTTCCCTCCTGCCTTTCCTCCCTGCCGCTTTCCTTTTCTCCTTCCTCCTCTCTTCCCCATCACTCCTCTCTTCCTCTCTCCTTCCCTCCATCTTACCTTCCTTTATTCTTTCCTACCCTCCTTTCTCCCTCCCTTCTTCCTCTCCTTCCTCCTTTCTTTCCTCCCTCCTTTCCCTTTCCCCATCCTTTCCCCTTCCTCCCTTTCTTCCTCCTCTTCTTTCTCTTCCTTCCCTCCCCTTATCCCTCTTCTTTCCCCCTCATTTTCTCCTTCCTTCCCTTTCCCTCCCCTCCTCTCTCTTTCTCTATTGAAATAAATGAAAAGGAAATGAAAATAATATCTACTATTTACTCTAAATTTTGCAGAATGTATATAGAACATGGGTTGGAGCAATAGCACAGCGGGTAAGGAGTTTACCTTGCACGTGGCCAACCTGGCTGACCTGGGTTCGGTTCCTCCACCTCTCTCGGAGAGCCCAGCAAGCTACCCGTAATATATTCAATATGCCAAACACAGTAACAACAAGTCTTACAATGGAGACTTTACTAGACCTGCTCGAGCAAATCGATGAACAATGGGAAGACAGTGCTACAGTGCTATATAAAACATACACAGGCATATATAGAGACACAGATACATAGTTTATGTATGTATGTATGTATACAGGGGATATAAATGCAGAGTTATTTCAACTTTTATTTAAATAACGACTGTTATTTCATAACATATATGTACACATATACATAAGAATGTGTATATACACACATGCATAGTAAGCATATATTATATTAATCCATATACTATATGAATATAATTTTAGAGTAAATTATAGATATCATGTCTATTTGTATCTAATTTTTTCTGTTCTGATTTTCCTAAGTGCAAAGGCTTTCTTAGGGCAAGGCATGTGACTTAAGTAACAGAGCATTCCACACATAGGTGAGGCTCTGGGTTTGAGCCCTAGTATCCTACCTCCAACATTGCCAAAAATAACCAAAAATAAAACCAAAAATCCTCCAAAGATATTTTATTACATCACGATCATCCTGTTGTTTGTCAATTGCCTCGAGCAGGCACCAATAATGTCTCCCTCTTCCTAGCTCTGAGATTTTAAAAGAGCCATATTCAATGCTCTTTCAGGGCTAGGAGAATGATACCCATCATTGTTACTGGTATTTGGCATATTGAGTATGACACGGGAAGTTTTCCGGACTCTGCCGTGCGAGCAGGATACTTTCAGTAGCCTGCCAGGTTCTCCAAAGTAAAAGTGAAATAATAAAATGTCATGCAGCCACAAATGCGGCCACGCGCTTCCAGGAGCTGGGTTTTATAGTCTCTGGGTCTTGGCCGTTGATGGAACCACCTGACACCAGCAGCAGCTGGTGGGTGTAATGCCTACCTACTGGAAGATGGGGGATCTGGGCGGAGAAGGCCCAGTCCTGATCCAAGCAGGCTTGGAGATCTCAGCCCCGGGACCCACATGCCTGGGTTCCTCTGCTGATTCCTTCATGCATGAGGCTTGTCTGGACATGTGGAGAGTAATCTCAGCATGGCTGTGACTACTATTGTATTACATAGCTACAATAACTGTCAAAATTGGTAGATTTGACATTGGTTAAATACTATCACCTAAATACTATTGCCTAATCTATAATCCATAAACAAACTTAATAAATTGTCCTAGTAATATGCCTTATAGCCTTTTTTTTAAAGCTAGGGATCAAATCCAGAATTTTATCTCTTTTACTCCCTTTAATTAGAACAATTTTCCTAACTTTTTATGTTTTTGTGAACTGATATTTTGAAGAGTACTGGCCAGGTTATTTATGAAATACATCTTACTCACAGATTATTAGTTCTGGTTATATGTTTGGGAAGGGCAAGAATACTATTAATATAATAATATCTCCTTCCCAGTACATACTATACTATCATTTGTAAATGTTTGGGGGGTTGTTTTTTGGGGGGTCTTTGGTTTTTAGGCCACACCTGGCAATACTCAGGGGTTACTTCTGGCCTTTCATTCAGGAATCACTCCTGGCCAGGCTCGGGGCACCACAAGGGGCTCAAACCTGGGTTGGCCACATGCAAGGGACATGCCCTACCCACTATACTATTACTTTGACCCTTATTTGGAAGTGTTTATGTCTGATGATTCAATTGAGGTGGACCTTTTATATATATGAATAAAGATACTAATTTCTTGTTTGTAAATGAAAGAGGCATGGAAGTTGCTCTATGATCATATAAAAATTCTGCTTCTTGTCAAACCTTCACTGAGTGGTTTATCATCTATTTTTAATTTCCAAATTCCTTTATTTCTTTTACATTTTTTATATGTAGGAGTATTGCTATTCATCCAGCCATTGATTAGTATTTCTTTTACATTTATCAAACAGGATTCTACTCTAAGGAAGATTGTTCCTTTCTCCTGCTTACTTCCTTACTCCATTGGTTAGTTTGTTGATTATATTAATATGAACTTCTAGATATTTCTTATGAATCACCACTTATTTTAATACAAAATTGCCCCAGACTTGGCCAGCAAGTCATTCTTTAAATTGTCATTTGTGTCCTTTTGAAATGGTTGCAAGATTCTTTACCCATTTCCTTATTTTCTGGCACAACAATATTTTCCTATACTTTTGTTTAACTAATTTTTAATTACTTTTTATAATCTCCTTATGTACTGCATTAAACACTGTACATATGACCAGTTATTTGACATTTAAATCCAAGTTTAAATGGCTGGTGAGCTGTTGTGCTACTATAAATGACAAATGATGACAATAATTATAAATTATGACAATAATAATTTTCAAAATAAATAAATTGGATTTCTTTTATAATGGAAAAGTGAAGCAAAAAGGATAAAGCAAAGATTGGAAAACCTTGCTTTGAGATCCAAGCTCAACTGGACAGTTGTTTTAGAGAACTCTGGGTCTCAAAACGTCCTCATTTGCAAAATAGGATTGTGTAAGTTTAATCAGGGATGTATCTATTTAAAAAACTACTTCAAGAGTACTATAAACTATGATTCCTCAATTTAAAAATCAATTTAAAAAATAGAAATATATGACAAAGCATTATAATTTTATAATATTAGAGCCTGGCAAGCTACCCGTGATGTATTCGATATGCCAAACACAGTAACAACAAAGTCTCCAATGGAGACGTTACAGGGCCCGCTCGAGCAAATCGATGAACAACCGGAGGACAGTGACAGTGACAGTGACTTCTGTCCAGCATGGTTATAAAAAACTAAAGAAATTGTATTTTTTTAATTATGGAAAAACTGTGCTAAATTCTATCTAGAATTTGTTAAGTAGGGTTGTAAATGTAACCAGATGAATCAAGAGTCATACCAAAATAGTTCAAATCACCCACCATCTCTATTATGAAAATTTTCAATGGAAAATTGAATATATTCAATTATGTATTGAATATCATATAACATTATTATATAAAATTGAATATATTCTATGAGAAATTGAATGTATTCGATTTTCAATGGATAATTGAAAAATGTATACTTTCCCTATTATATTCCAAAATAAAACAATTTGATAGTTCAAAATCTGGGTAGATAAGAACATCTAATAGAAGCAAAGATTTTGATTTGTCTAAGATAGAACTACACATTGGTAAACAAATCTGCAAAATATTTTTGATAGTTCTGAATTTTCCCTTTTATTTGTCCAATCAGGTTAACTTGCAAATTTCTATTTTATTTTTCACTGAATCACAGTATAATTATTATATACAATCCATTATATATTATTTTAAGTATTTTTATGCTGTTTTATGGTTTACAAGGCACTTCACAGGGGTAAACCAGAATCAACAACTGGAAGGTCACACTCTGTGTAACTGAGAGTGAGGACCAAACCTTGGTGGCTGTTGTATTCTTAGCCTCTGAGACAAGCTGAGCATGTCACAGACACCCAGTAAATGATGTGAAAAGCAAAGGGATGGCTGAGTGGGACTCCAAAGCAGAGCTTCTGGTTAGAGAATTTCTATTTGTTGGATAGAAAACAAACGTTGGATCAACTCATGGTCCTAGCAACTCTGCAGATGTGACTAATTTATCAACACAGAAGAGTCGAAAGATGCTCAGCATTGCCCCAATTTGACAATGAACAAGCTTAAGCAGGGGGAAATACCACTTCACCTAGTTACACCAGGTACCAGGGGAGATGTGGAAAACAGACACTCTGGAGGGGAACACACAAACTGTCCATCTAGAAAGTAATCAGGCGCTAAATTTCAAAAGCACAATACCATTCCCCCAACAATTGTACTTAAGGGAGGGGGGGAAAAGTGCTCTAACCAAAAAAAAAAAAAAAAAAATCTACAAACTCCCGTATGTATCCAAATATATGTGCACAAGAATTTTCAGGTGCTGCTATTTTATTCATTCATTCATTTATTTTTACATTAATGGACAGCTGAAAACAATCTGAACAAAAATTAACTACTCGACGAGGTTGTGGGAATACTGACAAGATGGAAGATTATGCAGCCATTACTAAGAACAAGGTAAATCAAGATGTGCTGATGGGCATAACCTCCCAGACAGGAAAAAGCAAGACAAAGAAGAGGGCGCCTAAGAAAGAGACAGTTAACCTTGACTGGGAGAAAAAAAGGATTGGGAGACTTTGCACCGAGAACCCTCCGTTACTGTTTCACTTGGAGCAACTGTGCTCAGAAAAAGGAAACATCTTTCCAAATAAACTGAATGTGCAGGTCTCGGGGGCGAAGACCCTCCAAGTCAGGAGCCGTCCCGAGTCGCTCAGTGCCCCTCTGCCAGCCCCCACTTACCCTTTGCGGCCGGAGAAGGAGCGCGGGCGGCCGGAGCGGCCGGGCGGCAGGAAACTGCGCGGCCCGAGGCCCCGCAGCCACCGTGCGCTCGGGCGGAGCATGGTGAGGCTGAGGCCGAGGGCGCTGGCACCTGCTCGTGACCCGGCGACAGCCGGGTGCTAAGGGTGCACCTGGGCGGCGGTGGGACCCTCCCCCCAGGCGAGGGGCGGTCTCCCGGAGCGGCGTACTTCCCGCGCCCCGGAGCCCGCAAAGCCACGGCGAGATGGCACCGGCCAAGAAGGTAAGTAAGTGTCCAGGAGTCCTCTTGGGTTTTCCAGCGCCTGGTGTTCGGGTCCCACCTCAGCCTCTACTCTAGTTCAACAGCTGAAGCCAAGCTTGGGTGCCTCGATTTACCCGATGGCGACTTGCAGGGGTGCGTAGAAGTGGCTTTCAGGGAGGATTAGATAACGACCTTGGGTAACTCACTTGCTGACACTGAAGAGCAGTCTTTATGCAAATGATCTTAACCGCACTATCACCCCCATTTTACAGGGGAGGAAACTGGGGTTCAGAGATTTAGCAGACTAGTTCAGGGTCCTTGAACTAGTCCAGGCTGGAGCAGAAATTTGCAGACCAACCTTCAAGGGGTGCTCAGGGCTTCTACCCTCAGTGAACCCCCACTCAGCTCATGATGAGTTCATCAAATCCCCCAGCCCCTTCCGTTCACCTTTGGGGAAGGGCTAGAGTCTGACCTTGTGAGCCCCTGGTTGGCCTGAAAACAGCCCTTTACCCAGGCTCCCAGTCCCCCAGCCCCCCAGCCACCCCCCGGAGATGCAGGGGACCAGCCCCCACCCCTTCCCCCCGCTGCTCCTTCTCCAGGCCTGTCCCAAGTCTCCAAGTCTCCAGCTGTCAGCTTTGTCCTCCAAGTTTCATGCTGGATGTGCATGGTGGAGAGAGGGGTGACCCTAAAATTAGGAAGGGCATAGACTTGGACCAGCGACGGCTCAAGTACTTCTCTAAGCAACCTACCAGAGCTCTATAATTCAGATAGAAGATGACGGAGGTGATGGAGGCAAGAGCATTTGTGCTAAAATGTTAGGAGCAACCAAGATGCCCTAAAGTAACCCCCTGCCTAAAGAAACCAAGGTTCATCCACTTACTAAGTTTTTAGGCTGTCACTGTCACTGTCCTCCGTTGTTCATTGATTTGCTCGAGCGGGCCCAGTAACGTCTCCATTGTGACACTTGTTACTGTGTTTGGCATATCAATATGTCGAATAGGTCACCAGGCTTTGCCGTGTGGACGAGATACTCTCAGTAGCTTGCTGGGCTCTCTGAGAGGGGCGGAGGAATCAAACTCCGGTCGGCCATGTTGGCCACTTGCAAGGCAAAGGCCCTACCCACTGTGCTATTGCTCCAGCCCAAATAAAAAGTCAATTAAGGGTTTGTACAGAGGTTAAGGGGCTTATGTGGTTACCCTGGTTAGATTCTCCAGCACACCCTCCCCTCACCCCTGTGTGGACTCCCACCTCCTAAAACCAAGTTTGGAAACAAGCCAAGTGCTTTGGCAATGTTACAAAAGGGAGATGGAGAACAGATTGATCCCAACCCTACCAGAGTATAGGAAGGACTAGATAGTGGTGATTATAGTCACATAGAATATGCAGTGAGGAGAGGCAAAACCCAACATATTTTTCAATATGTTTTTCTGATTATAAAAGTAAACTGTGGTCATTGAAGCGAAGGATGGTTATGGATAAAGAATGAGAAAAAAAAACATTGTGCTGATTTTAAATTTTTTTTTCTGTGATACTATGTTCACCATTACAGCTCACTGAACAAAAGTTTTTAATATGCTGTCCCCAACTGAGGAGAGAATTCAGCAGGCTAAGTGTATACATACTGGGTTCAATTCCCAGCATCACTTGGTCTCTCTAGTACCTCTGGGAGTGGCCCCTAGCTCTAAGCCAGGAGAAGCCCCCCAGCATCACTGGGTACGGCTCCCAAATTTTAAAATAAATAAATGCACAGCTAAAACATGCTGTTCCTGTCGAGTCTTCACTCCAGCTTCTGCTCTTGCAACACCAAGATCATCCTAGGATAACCGTGTCAATGTGTTCCTGCAAGTCAGCATATTAGTGGGACAGAATCACCCTTGGCTCACTATTCAGATCACAGGTACGGTGTCAGAATTTATCTAATTGCCAGAGGGCCACCTCTGCTTTGTAACCCCTAAGAGCTATGGTGGTGGCAATCCCAGGCAGATAGGGAGAGACTGTGCCTGCTCCTGGCCCCAGGTCCAAGCCCGAGCTGCAGGCATCCAGACTGAGCCCTAGCACAGGTGTTAACTTACACACTCTAGCTGCAGAACGGAGGCTCTGATGCCCCTCCCAACTCCCAGTCGAACCTGAGGCAGATCTCTGGCAACCAGAAAGGGAGAGAAAAATGGGAATAGAATTGTGCTGCAAAATGAAAGTAGTCCTTGCCATCCTCTCTCATTCCAGACTCATCTTTAGATTATACTGGTCTAATAATTAATGAAAGTGGCAAGTATTAACAGTAAAAAAGGGGGAGGGCACTGAGTTTAAATCTTGTTAATGATTTTCCTAATGTCAGTTTAGAAAACTGACAAAATTTTAAATATGGACAGGACTGTGGATATAGCTCAAAGGTAAAGTGTTTGCTTTGCATATGGGAGGCCCTAGGTTGGATTTCTGGCACCCCAAACAATAGAAAATATTGGACAAAAGTTCAAATAACAAATCCGGGGCTAAGAATGTGGATCGAATGGTAGAGCTCATGGGTTGCATGTGTGAGACACTGTGTTTGAACCTTAAAATTCCTTTCACCAGCACCCCAGCAGCATCTCCAGGTGCACAATGATGAAAATAAAACATTAGGGTCAGAAAAGAGAGAAAAAGTTAAAATTACCTGAAAAAAAAATAAAAACCACAACAATGTAATCATTTCCAGAATAAAAACACAAATAAATAAATCAAATAGCAGATTGAACTGTTTTACCTTTACTTGGTATCATAAAGACACAATCAAAATACATATTTTGGGCTTGGAGATGGCTTAAAGGGCTATAGCACATGCTGGGTATACATGAGCCCAAATTTGATTCCTGGCATTCCATGGTCCTGAGAGCCCACCAAGCGTTTACTACTTGGTGTAGCCCAGAACACCTCAGAAAGTTGTGCATATATACCTTACAATTATCTTTAAACCCCTCTCTGATTTTCTTTAAAGAGTAGCATTAGAACCAGATAGTTCAGAGGTTAAGACATTTGCCTTGCATGTGACTGACCCTGCTTCAAGTCCCACCTACATATAGTTCCCTAAGCCTTACCGGGAATGACCCCTGAGCACAGAGCCAGAAGTAAGCTTTGAGAACTGCAGGGAATGGCCCCTAGACAAACCAACAAACAATTGAATCGCATTATTTTTTTCAACTCAGACATAATTTTAAGGCATACATGAGACATACAGGTACAAATTTCAAAGAAATCTAGTCTCTCTGCTAGCACTCAGTGTAGTATAGAAGGGCTTGATCTCTGTGGAGACAGGGAAGTCACCTGATACTGCAGTGCAGGCACTGAGTACAGGAACGGAAGCTTGTGCACTTCACCAGGACACAAAGGAGGAGAGAATCCCCGCAAGAGAACATCTGCGTGGCTTTGCTCTGGCAGCAATGCAGAAGGTTCAGAGCTGGCTATTTCAGTAACCCCAGGGCAGTGAGAATGCGGGACATATAGGAAAGTGCTGGGAATAATGCCAAAATAAACCTGCCACTGTCATTTGATGATAATTAAGAAGCTCTTCTGATCTTTTTGGTTCTTGTTTGGTTCAGAACCATTAACAGGACTGTGACTGTCACCTGATAGCATATTGAATGTGGGAGAAAGAGACCACCCCATATCATCTAAAATGTACATCCAAGCTTTTTTCCCCTCTAGAGCTGTTTGATGTGTAACACTGAATTTAATTCTTAGCAGTTAACTGAAATGAAGTGTGCTTGGTTTTTAAGATGAGATTTTATAAACACAACTCTACCTTGATTCTCCCAGATCCCTCTTAGCATGTTTATTCCATGGTGCTGTGATGATCTGTTGACCCACTGGCCTTCTCTAAGGATCTAGAGTTAGCGCTTTTTGAGGGCAGGGACCTTGTCTTTAAACAAATTCCAAAGTTTATTCCCTTCCCTAGAATTCTACCTTCCATGCAGGAAGAGCTTACCCCAAAGTCTAAGGCTTAAATCCTTTCTTATGTTTCCAAGGATGAAAATAAAAAGAATGGGTTGCATTTTATTGTGGGAGGAGGAGGTGAGCATTATGGTATTAATATTAATATTAATCTTTCTTCTACATTCAACTAAACCTCATCTTTAGATATAAACTGGCCAGGATGAGGAGCTCACTCTATCAAACAGTGTTTATGGCTAATACAGTGCATACAATTGGGTTCCATACCACTTTCTTCCACGATAAAAGGTCTGATACTTAGCTGTCCATTTCATTTTCATTTCATTTCATCATCCTGTTATTCGTCAATTGCCTCGAGCAGGCCCCAGTAACGTCTGTTTCATCCTAGCCCTGAGATTATATTCAAGGCTCTTTAGGAGAATTTAGCTGTCCATGTATCCTTCAATATACCTTCCTGACAAAAAGTTCAAAGAATGACTTGAGGCTTTTGTCCCTCATCCATACTAAAATGCTGGGGAAGAGGAGAGAGTGTGAGGTGGGTGGCAGAGAGGCATGGCATGATGTCATGGATTGAACCCAGAATCTCACATACTTGAGGTAAATACTCCACTGCTCTACCACTTTAAATCACACCTTTGATAAATGGCTGTTTGCAGTCACCATAGGAGGAACCAGGATCTCCACTTGGATGAGTTTGCAGTTTTTGTACAGGGCTTAGGGAAGGTATTGAAAAGACCCCCCCCCCCAACACTGGAGGAAGCGAGAGGGTGAACTCGGCAGGTTTCTGAACAAGGAAGGTAAGTGGAAGCCCATGAGCTCAAAGTAGCGGCTCAACTCCAACATCTAATTTAAATTACAAGGAGGATGAATAGAAAGGGAGTAAAACAGAAAGACTGTACAGTAGGGATTTGGAAAATATGAAGTCTTTTTTAAAAAGCTAACTCTGTGTCTTAACTGAACCTCTTTCCTTGTTTATGAAATGGGAAAATGAACTTCCATGCCCTGCACACGGAGTTGTTGGGAGCATTAAATAACACTGTGTCCAGGAACATGCTGGAAAATGTAGCACATAATTATGAAACACTGTGTCCACTGTGTTCCATGGTTTTCACAAAGAAGCTCATTCCCTCACCAGTCCTTAGCCACTAAATGAACACCAGTGGCCTCAGCTAGCCCCGATGGTGTGACTGCAAGGTGTTGGTTAAACCTCCAGGGTTTCCTCTTGAAATTCCAGCCACAGAAGAGAAAAAGGACCAAGGGGGGAGGGGGGCGGGCACTTCCTTGATAGAAAAACAACCCTTTTTCTAGAAATTTCAGCAGACTTTCATTTGGGTCTTATCAGGCAGTACAATGTCACATGGATACTCCTAGCAGTAAAAGAGCCTGAGTTGTTTTGTTTTTCAAAAGGGGACATTTTCTCTCCAAAAGAAATATATTAGCAATGGAAAGAGTGTGTACCAATTAGGCAGGCAGCTAGCAGAGTCTGACACACAAATGTTATTTTGGTTTTCCACTTGGAAAATGGAAATGGAAAACCAAAATAACTCACATGGAATTAGAACTGTCACAAAAATATGGCTCATTAAATGTTATTTGAGGGGGAAAAAATAATCCCAGTGCTTTGTATGGAACAAGTACCTGTGGGGTGATGCGGGCAGAGAGGGATCTCAGGAAAGAAAGGCACTCTTCTTGCATGCATTGGACCCCCCCCCCAGTACAGTTCCATCCCCAGCATTGCATATGGTCCCCTGAGCACCACCAGGAGTGATCACTGAGCGCAGAACCAAGAGCAAACCTTGAGCACTGTTGGGTATGGCCTCTTAGCCACTCCCAGAAAAATAACATGTACTTGCCTGTATTTGTCCAGTTTTTACAGTGAACTCAATCTTTCTGAAAATCTTTACTCTTAGTCATTGATAATTTTATCAACACTGGTACTATCTAAGTAAGTACCTCCTTTTCTAAACTTGGATGGAGAGATGGTACAGAGGGAGAGTGCTTGCCTTGCACAGGGCTGACCTGTTTTTGGTCCCCAGCACCTCAATATGCCCCCCCAAGACCATAGTAGTGATCCCTGAGTGCAGAGCTGGGAGTAAGAAAAGCCCTGAACACTACCGAGTGTAGCCCCCCCACCAAAAAAAAAACCCTGAATAAATTAATCACAATGATTTTTAATGACAATTTAAAAAATAATAAAATAAGAAACTACTTAGGGGGAAGAAGGAGAGGCCCATGAATGGTTTCTCCGCTCTTTCTCAGGATATTTTGGAGTGCCTAGACAGTGGGGAGGTGGTGGTCGGGGATGGCGGCTTTTTCCTAAGCCTGGAGAAGAGAGGCTACGTAAAGGCAGGGCTCTGGACTCCAGAGGCAGTGGTGGAACATCCAGAAGCCGGGAGGTGCCTCTCTCAACCCAAACCTTGCTGAGGGTGACCTTGTCCTTAATGCTGACTAAGACAAGATAAGGAAATACCAGCTAGTGTTTCCTCAGGACTCTTTTACCTGCCAAAATCGACCAGGGGTGGAGACAGTGACAGACATTGATGGAAACCAATAGAAGAGAGTGCCTTCCATCCTCCCTCTGTTTCCTGCTCACCCCTCTCTATCTAGGAAGTCTTAAAAGAAACATTTCACTATTTATTGCTTGTAGATATTCAAGAGTTTGCTCGATGTAGTAATACCATTCTTTGCTTCACAGTGTGCCAATGCCTTTGAATCAGTATGGTTGGTAAAGATGGGTGAGAACGACCACAAAGCACAGGGCGGTGACAGATAGCCTGGCTCTTTGGGAGGAGAGAAAATGGTAAAGAAAGAAAGCCAATTTGATTTTTTTGTTGTTTATTTTTGGGCCACATTCGATGGTACTCAGGGCTTACTCCTGCCTCTGCACTCAGGGATGACTCCTGGCAATGGTTGAAGAACCTATGGGATGCTGGGGATTGAATCCCTATTGGTTGCATGCAAACAAGTGCTCTACCTGCTATGCTGTATATCTCACTAACCCCCAGAAATTAAAAAACAATCCTAGCTCATTCTCCAGGCTTTAGAGAAAAGAAAAAACAAAATGAGGGTCTGGCTAGTGTGATAGTCTAAGGCAGCCTTGAAGGTCCCAGCACCTCCCACCCCTCCTGAGCACCACTTGGGAGCCCTCATCCCTACCCCCCAAAAAAAGAAAAGTTGTAGGAAGAAACTGGTAGGATTAGCCTGAGACAGCAAATTGGAACTTCTGGAACTTCTGTTCTAGTTTGTTTGTTTGTTTGTTTGTTTTTGCTTTTGGGGCCACACCTGGCAATGCACAGGAGTTACTCCTGGTTCATGCACTCAAGAATTACTCCTGGCGGTGCTCAGGGGACCATATGGGATGCTGGAATTCGAACCTAGGTTGGCTGCGTGCAAGGCAAATGCCCTACTCGCTGTGCTATTGCTCCAGCCCTTCTGTTCTAGTTTTACTCTTTTTTTTTTAAATATGTATGTCACTCTCTTAAAGTGGAAAATAAAAACTAAGGGGATGAAATGGCTGACTCAGGACAAACCGGAACTTTCACTCCAGACTTGTCAAGATACCTTAGGATATCTTGACATAGCTTTGTCAAGTTCCTGTCTTTCTTCCTTGCTGAAGGCTGACATCTCTAACATCTTCCTCCCCCTAACACCTCAACTGGGGCCTGATACAGGCTAACTGTGAGGATTCATGAGTGAGCACTTAGGAAATGTCTCACATCTCTTAGGTATTATTAATTTATCTGACACCAGAGTGGTAGAGAGGATAAAGTATCATCTCTCTGATTCAGAAAGCTCTCATCTGGTTCTAGCAGAAATTTCCCCTTTAATTTTAGATCTTTCCTTGCAAAGCAGAAAGTTTTGCAAGAACAAGACAAGGAGTAGGGGTGGGGATTGGGTGTGAAAAAAGACTAAGGAAGGGTTTTGTGACAGGACATGAAGACCTCTTCGATGAAGTCTTCCCAGCTGCTATGGGAACTTGCTGTGGCTTCCCACCACATACATGTTGCCAGCTAGGAGAGTTTTCCCATTTACCGTTAGGGATGGCCAGTGTCAGCTATAAGTAGATTAGCTCCATTCTTGACTGGTAAAGGGATATACCCTCTCCAGACTCTGAAAGTATTGGGCTACTATACACAGCCCTGACTGGCTAAAGTCTGCCACTTTCTGTCCTTGAATTCTACTAACCGTGATCGGCAGTTTCTATAATTACTGGGTTTGGAATTGTGTGTAACTGAGAGAGTCTTGAATGGCTAGGCAGATGCTGCTGAAGATAATAGCCGCTCTGATTTTTTAAATGTCTACTTTAAATAACCACCACTTTAAAGTTCGGCACCTTCACACAGAATTCCTGAGAGCAGGAGCAAATGTCATGCAGACATTCACCTTTTCTGCCAGTGAAGACAATTTGGAGAGCAAGGTAAACTGTAATGCCACTGATAGGAGGAGGAAGGTGTGCAGGGTTTATTTATAAGAGAAACAACATCTTGGTGGAATACTATGGAATTGATCCGATACTGTACTTCTTACAATCAAACCTAAACCATCTATTAAATAATCTCAGATAAATTTATAATGGGCTTAGACTGTCTCATAAACAAGGAGTGTGGCAAATAGGACTGGGCAAGATTGGCTATTGGCTGTGTGGGCCACCATTCTGTGCCTTATCATTATCATTATCATTATCACACTGTCCTCCCGTTGTTCATTGTTTTGCTCGAATGGGCCCAGTAACGTCTCCATTGGAGACTTTGTTGTTACTGTGTTTGGCATATCGAATACATCATGGGTAGCTTGCCAGGCTCTGCCGTGCGGGCGAGATACTCTCGGTAGCTTGCTGGGCTCTCCGAGAGGGGCAGAGGAATCGAACTCGGGTTGGCCATGTTGGCTGCGTGCAAGATAGACGCTCTACCGCTGTGCTATCACTCCAGCCCATCATTATCATTATTATTATTATTACTATTATTGGAATAAGAGCACTTTATATACGCTCTTTTTATTTTCTCATATCATGTTATTATTCTGACTTATCCACCTGCAGAGAGGGTAGTCCGAGAGAACATAGTTGAACAATCAATATGAAGTGGATTTGATACCCAACTTGGCCACCTAGGTTGGCCATATGACTTCTCGTGAGCCACTTTCTCTGCAAAATGGAAGTAACTTACACTGAACCCCATCTGATTGTTAGACAAGTGAGGGATGTAAAAGTTTCCTGAGATCTAAAAATGGGAAGTGTTAGTGTTCAGAAACATTTCATTTCATTTCATTTCATCATCCTGTTAATCGTCGATTGCCTCGAGCAGGCCCCAGTAACGTCTCGTTCATCCTAGCCCTGAGATTATATTCATGGCTCTTTAGGAGAATGAGACCCATCATTGTTACTGGTATTTGGCATATTTGGTAGGCCACGGGGAGTTTGCCAGACTCTGCCCTGTGGGCAGGCTACATTCGATAGCCTGCAAGTTTGTCCAAAGTAGGAATGAGATAATAAGATGTCCCGCGGCCGCGAATGTGGCCGCGCGGTTTCGGGATCTGGATTTTATAGTCTCTGAGTCTTGGCCGCTGATGGGATTACACGGCGCCAGGGGGCCAGGTGGTGGGTGTGACCCCCGCCTACTGGAATTTGGAGGATCTGGGTGGAAGATGCTCGACTCCAAATCGAGTAGGCTTGGAGGTCTCGGCCCCGGAACCCGCGTGCCTTTGTCCCTCTGCCAGTACCTTCACGTGTGCGGAGAGTGGTCTCAGCATGGTGGTGGCTGGTCCTGGAGGTCTTCGGCTGCCGTAGCCCTGGCCGGGGCGGGGAGGAAAGCTCAACCCGCTCCCCTCCAAGGGACTCCGGGAAGGAACACCCAAGCGCGGGGGCAGAGACTGCACTCTTCTCGTCCGGGATCTGGATTTTATAGTCTCTGAGTCTTGGCCGCTGATGGGATTACACGGCGCCAGGGGGCCAGGTGGTGGGTGTGACCCCCGCCTACTGGAATTTGGAGGATCTGGGTGGAAGATGCTCGACTCCAAATCGAGTAGGCTTGGAGGTCTCGGCCCCGGAACCCGCGTGGCTTTGTCCCTCTGCCAGTACCTTCACGTGTGCGGAGAGTGGTCTCAGCATGGTGGTGGCTGGTCCTGGAGGTCTTTGGCTGCCGTAGCCCTGGCCGGGGCGGGGAGGAAAGCTCAACCCGCTCCCCTCCAAGGGACTCCGGGAAGGAACACCCAAGCGCGGGGGCAGAGACTGCACTCTTCTCGTCCGGGATCTGGATTTTATAGTCTCTGAGTCTTGGCCGCTGATGGGATTACACGGCGCCAGGGGGTCAGGTGGTGGGTGTGACCCCCGCCTACTGGAATTTGGAGGATCTGGGTGGAAGATGCTCGACTCCAAATCGAGTAGGCTTGGAGGTCTCGGCCCCGGAACCCGCGTGGCTTTGTCCCTCTGCCAGTACCTTCACGTGTGCGGAGAGTGGTCTCAGCATGGTGGTGGCTGGTCCTGGAGGTCTTCGGCTGCCGTAGCCCTGGCCGGGGCGGGGAGGAAAGCTCAACCCGCTCCCCTCCAAGGGACTCCGGGAAGGAACACCCAAGCGCGGGGGCAGAGACTGCACTCTTCTCGTCCGGGATCTGGATTGTATAGTCTCTGAGTCTTGGCCGCTGATGGGATTACACGGCGCCAGGGGGCCAGGTGGTGGGTGTGACCCCCGCCTACTGGAATTTGGAGGATCTGGGTGGAAGATGCTCGACTCCAAATCGAGTAGGCTTGGAGGTCTCGGCCCCGGAACCCGCGTGGCTTTGTCCCTCTGCCAGTACCTTCATGTGTGCGGAGAGTGGTCTCAGCATGGTGGTGGCTGGTCCTGGAGGTCTTCGGCTGCCGTAGCCCTGGCCGGGGCGGGGAGGAAAGCTCAACCCGCTCCCCTCCAAGGGACTCCGGGAAGGAACACCCAAGCGCGGGGGCAGAGACTGCAGTGTTCAGAAACATTAGTGTCCATTAATTTGTACAAATGAACAACACTTATTGAGTACATATTATGGTACATTCTCTATGCCAAATGGAAAGATGATACAAAAGTTCAAACTCCAGTCTGAAGAGACTCAGGATCTAGTGTGGGAGGCCAATAATTGTTTATTACAATGCAATATAGAGTCACAATGGGGGAAGTACAGGTTCCCTAACACCAGAGAATGACACCAACTTTGTGGTCTTTTCATTGCGCTGTGAATCAGTCACTTGCACCCCTCTGACTTGCTTGTCAACTCCTTTGTTTTGTGACGCTAGTTTACCTATACAATGCCAAGTTCACTTTCTGAATTTTTGGTCTCTGGTCTCAGTGGAAAGCTGTAAATGCCGCTGCCTGCGATCTCGCGAGAGAAGTGGCTGACGGAGTCAATGCTCTGGTAGCTGGGAGCATCTGCCAGACGTCCATGTACAAGCACCACAAGGATGAGGCCACAATTAAAAAGCTTTTCCAGCTCCAATTCAAGGTGTTTACCAGGAAAAATGTAGACTTCTTGATTGCTGAGGTAAGCCCAGTGGTGGAGGGAAAAGTCGAAGCCCATCTGGGCAAGTTTTCTACTTTCTGCGGGGTGGGCCTGCCTTCTGGCCTCATTTCCTCCTGTGCAGGTGGGCAAAGGTTTATTTAAATGCACTCTAGTCAAGGCCAGTATTCTCTCACCTGCATGCCAGGTTATTCATAAAGCCAAAGGACAGTCATGAATAACTGTGACCTGTGGTTTTCTAAGGCTTCAGCACCTAACTCAGTGAAGTGGGGAAGGGAAGGGGGTGGGGTTCTGGGGTTGGGGGTTCTGGGGTTGGGTTCTGGGGTTGGGGGGATAGGGGGCGACTGACCACGTGGGGTGAAAAGAAAGGAGCAGTGAGTTAGGGGGCATTTTCTCCAGAGAGGTCAAGCTGGAATAATCTATGGGGGAACCCCCTAGAAATCATAAGACAGTAAACCCTGGATCAAGGGGCCTCCTAGACTACCCCCCACCAGGTCTACACATGACATCCAGTAGCTGAGTCAGTTCTTCCTCTGCCCCAGCCAACCTTGCTCGCTCCCATCCTTTTGTTTGTACTTATGAGGGATATTTTGAAGAAAAAAAATCAATAAGAATTGGTTACTGATTGGACATGAAGGCCTAGAAGCTTCTATTCCTTCCACCTCCAGCTATTAAAGAGTACTCACTCCTCATGTCCCATCACGATGGTTACTAAGTGGGGTCAGGCCAAGTCTTTGAACAAGGGCAATAGTTTTGCAACTGCTATTTTCCCAATCACTCTTTCAACCTATTGAAGGTGCTGTGTCACCAGCTCAGGCCCATCCCATGCCCAGCTTGCCCACCTAGAAATCATTATCTGTAGAAATCAGCACCAGCCCTGCCCTCTCGTTCTCAAAGAATAGCGCTAGCTTTTTGACTCTGGCTCTCATTCCTCCATCACAGCGTTTTTTTGCAAACTTTGTTTACAAACCAGGCGGAAACAATGAAGTCATTAAGGAAATTTCTGTGGGCTTTCCTCCACTAAAACTTTCAGCGGTGGCACTGAAGAGAGCTCCGAAGAAGTGCCTCTGAAATGACATGGTTTAGCAGAGAAGAACTCCTGCTCATTATTGCCACAAAGCAAAACAAAGCCAAAAACAAATCTCTCCCTTATCACCAATGAACCTCTCCAATACTCTGCCTTCGAGTCCCATAGGAAGAAATTATCATTATTTCCCTTCCTACGTTATAAAACACTGATGTGTATCTTATCCGAAATAAACAGAAGCCCACTCTGTGGGTGCAGGAAGATAGCACAGAAGTTAGGTAATATACATGCCCCCCAATCCCAGTTTGCTCCCTGGCACCACATACCCTCCAGCCTGCACCTCCCATCCCAGCACTGCCAAATGTGACCCTGATGGTCTCCAGCTCAGCAGGACCCAAGCAACACCGCATTCTTGGTCCCTTGTGTTAAACCACAAGACCAATAGGAGGAAAAGAACAAAACAGCACGTTTTAAAAGATAATCCAAAAGAACAAAAGCAACTAATGCTGGCGCGGATGTGGCAAGACAGGGACACTCCTTCACTGTTGGTGGGAATGCCGACTGGTTCAGCCCTTCTGGAAAACAGTATGGACGATTCTGAAAAAAATTAGAAATTGAGCTCCCATTTGACCCAGCAATACCACTCCTGGGAATATATCCCAGAGAGACAAAAATGTATAGTCGAAGTGACATCTGCACTTGTTTGTTCATTGCAGCACTCTTTACAATAGCCAGAATCTGGAAAAAACCTGAGTGCCTGAGAACAGATGACTGGTTAAAGAAACTTTGGTACATCTACACAATGGAGTACTATGTAGCTCTTAGAAAAGATGAAGTCATGAACTTTACATACAAGTGGTACCACATGGAAAGTATCATGCTAAGCGAAATGAGTCAGAAAGAGAGGGATAGACATAGAAAAATTGCATTCATCTGGGGGACATAAAGTAGCAAAATAGGAGATTAATACCCAAGAATAGCCGAGATCAGTACCAGGAGGATTACTCCATGGCTTAGAGGCCAGCTGGGCACTCTAGGGGAAAAGGCAGCTCAGATAGAGAAGGGAGCACCAAATAAAGGGTGTTTGGAGGGTCCTCCCAGGAGGGGAGATGCATGTCGAAAGTAGACTATGGACTGAACATGATTGCCACTCAATGCCTCTTTTGCAGACCACAACACCCAAAAGGAGAGAGAGAACACAAGGTATTGCCCTGCCACAGAGGCAGGATGGGATTGGGGGATGGGTGTTGGAGGGATACTGGGATCCATGGTGGTGGAAAATGGGCACTGGTGGACGGACGGGTATTTGATCATTGTATATTCGAAACCCAAGCACAAAAAATTGTAAATCTACAACTGTAGCTCATGGTGTTTCACTAATAAAAATTTAAAAAAAAAGATAAAGCGTGATAAACTTCATTATGTTTTAGAGACTGCCTAGTTCCATAAAAGATGTGTACAACATAGTAACATTGGTGGAGGATTGTAAGCACTTTGGTGGCAGTGGTGGGTGAAGTAACTGTACCTCAATACCAAAGGCATTGACACTGTTGTAAACATGACACCTACGCGATAATTTTAAAAAAAAGATAAATTATAGCAGCTGGAGAGAGCATATAGATGATTTCTTGGCCCATGACTGGCTCCAGTTTGATCTCCAGGACCACATATGGGCACTTGAGCATTAATAGGAGTGAATCCTGAGCACAGAGCCAGGAGTAGTTCCTGAGCAACACTGAGAACGGTCCTCAGATCCCAAATAATTAATTGATTGGTTAAAATTGTTTTGTGAAGAAAGAGAGATATGAGTAGCTGTTACTCAAAATTTAAGATTTGTTCCTTCAAAATTAAATATTTTTAAATGTTCAATTACTGAAAAGGAAAAATTATCTGTGGGTTTGTTTTACCTTATTCTTTTTAGAAATAGTTGTCATCTCTTGATAGCAATGGTTCCGCATGAAAATTTAGATATTGTTCTTAAATGTAGATAAATATGGATATTATTGTTAAAGGAAATAAATAATTGAGAGATTGTTCTTTAGTCACATTCTGAAACACATTTTCTCATATATTAGATCATTTTAATGACTGTTTTCCCAATATTTGCAGCTGCTACTCAAAAATCTGCTTTTTGATTTAGACCAATAAAAAAAATTTAAGTTCTCTAATATGTTTTGTGAAGGAACCACACCAGTGGTGCCCATGGGCTACTTCTGACTTTGTGCTTGAGGAACAAGACAATGCCAGGGATTGGACCATTCCTGCCAACTGCAAGCAAGACAAGCTGACTTAACACCCAGAGCTTCTCTCCATTCCCTCTCTTAGTATTTTGAGTCTGCTGAAGAAGCTGTGTGGGCTGTGGAAGTCTTAAAGGAATCAGGCAAACCAGTGGCAGCTACTATGTGCATTGGCCCAGAGGGAGATGTGCATGGGGTAGCCCCAGAGCTTGCGCTGTTCAGCTGGTGAAGGCAGGTAATTTGGACTCTTGACATGGTAAAAAGTTACTTTATTGTTTAATATTGGGAGAGCTGTTCAGCGGTGAATGGACTTACCAGAATCCATTCCTGAGCAGTGGAGCAGGGTTTGCCCACTCGAACGTACCTTTCAATTATTAACAAATAGAAAGAAGCAAATAAGTAAAAAGAGTATTTCCTTCCCAGGGGCTTCCACTGTTGCTGTGAATTGTCGATTTGGACCGGAGACCAGCTTGAAGACAGTGGCACTCTTAAGGGATGGCTTGCAGAATGCAGGGTTGAAGGCACATCTGATGGTGCAGTCCCTGGGGTTCCACAAGGGAGGGTTTGTGGACCTCCCCGAATATCCCTTTGGTAAGCTCAGATACATATTGGAGAACCTTGTGGTTTCTTTTCTGACAAAACAGAAGCAACTCTACAAAACAAAGGTGTCTTAAGACCAGATGTCTTAATGTTAACCAAAAATAAATTATTTGAAGAAAAAAACTATCTAAAGTCTATAATTTTTCAATGGGTGGGGGAGGGGAGGATGTTGGGAGGCAGCAAAGCACCCATAAGAGCATCTGTCATTTGAAGTAAAAAATGGTTACAAAGGCTGTCACTATTGTGTTCCTGGCCTGGAGCCCAGAGTTGCCACCAGGTGGGACATTCAGAAATATGCCAGAGACGCCTACAACCTGGGGGTCAGGTACATCGGCGGGTGCTGTGGCTTTGAGCCCTACCACATCAGGGCCATCGCAGAGGAGCTGGCCCCGGAAAGGGGCTTCTTGCCACCCGCTCCAGAAAAACACGGCAGCTGGGGAAGTGGTTTGAACATGCACACCAAGCCATGGGTTAGAGCCAGGTAGGAACTTTTGAATTATTACTCTAACTTCCTCTAATTTATTATTGCTACACTACATAGATGCATAACAGAAAGGCTTCAAAAAGGTATATAAAAGTAAAAGTTCTCCCCCCTTCCTAGCACCAGTGCTCTTCTATTCTGAGGTAAGAACTTATCTGGAAGCCTTCAACCTCTAGATCTTGTTTTAATCAAATAAAAGCAAGAGTTATCCTTTATGAAAACTGAAGAATTTAAATCACACAATCTTCATCTTTTCTCTCTGCTTTTCTATAGGATTTTTTGGTTTTGTTTTTGTTTTGGGACCATACCCAGCAGTGTTCAGAGCTATTCTTAGTTCTGCATTCAGGAATCACTTCTGGTGGGCTTGTGGAATCATGTGAGGACATAGGTATCAAATCCGGATTGGTCACGTGCAAAGCAAGCACCCTACCTGCTATATAATTGCTCTGGCCCTCTCTGACATGTTTTGATTTATTCCATTTTTGTTTCTTCTTTTGATTATCTTCCAAAGTTTAAAATTAGTACTTAGCCACCTATTTTTTAATTTATCCAGAAGAGGCCGTATCTCTTGTCTGTCTCCTCTCTGTGAAAGAATTTTCTTGACCTCTATCCTTCCCATCCCATACCCCACCCCCATTTACCTCTTGGCTTTATTGCTTTTGCATTATCATAGTTTATTACTCTGATGTTCTGCTCTATGATTATGATCCATACTCCTAAGCTTTGTCTCTAGTTTTACTGCAAAGTGCAATGCTAGTGAATAACATTTATGATGCTATTATAATGGTCACATTAAACAAGCAGATTTCATGAAATATGAGCAGAATGCAAGTTTACTTTTTTTTCCTTCCTCTGTCCTCTTAGATCTACTCAATGGGTTACTTATTAATATGCCACGAGGCTTCTTTTTTACCTGGTGGTGGGGTGAGGCTTTGCGCCACACCCAGTAGTGCTCAGGCGTTATTTCTGGCTCTGTGGTCAAGAGTATTCTCTACGTGGGCTCAAGTAACTATATGTAATTTCAGGGAACAAACCAGAGTTGGATTCATTCAAGGCAAGACACTGATCTCTTGTTCTATCTCTCTGGTCCTTCCCAGAACTTCTTTAGGAACTTTTAGGTAATAGCACGAGGAATACTTGACTTAGCTAATACAGTCCAGGAATTAAAACATTTAGTTAAGGGGTATGAGACCAGTTGTAGTTACTGGTTTTGGCATATCGAATACACAGCGGATAGCTTGCCAGGCTCTTCCGTGCGGGCGGAATACTCTCGGTAGCTTGCCAGTCTTTCCGAGAGGGATAGAGGCTTTTGGGGTGACCTCTAATCACCCTTGTAGGTGTTACCATATTTGAACCCTATCAAATATGGTACGACAATTCCAGAAGATGGGTATTTAGTGTCTCGGCCGCGCGGGTCCGGAGAGCGTCCTGGTGTGTGGCGACGGCTGGGTAGTGGAAGTAGTGTCCAAAACCAGTAACTACAACTGGTCTCATTCACCTGACCCTGAAGGCTTCACCGACATGGCAGCACTGAGAAGGATGAGAAAGGAGAGGCTGACAAAATCTCAAGGCCGACCTAGGCTGCCACAACGAAGGAAGACAAAAATGATCGTCTGTACTTTCAATGCACGTACGCTAGCATCAGATGCATCCATCGAGGACCTGATGGTACAAGCGCGAATGATCAAGTACGACATCATTGGTCTGACCGAGACAAGAAGACACGAATCTCACCATGCCGTTTTCGACACTGGAGAAGAATTGTTCCTCGGAACATGCGATAAAAGAGGTGTTGGAGGCGTCGGTGTCCTTGTCAACACAAACTTGGCCAAGAGCATTGATTCATTCGAATGCCTAACAACCCGAATCGGACGTTTACATTTGAATAGATGTGGCTCACTGCCTGCAGTTTCTATCTTCGTTGTCTACGCACCAACATCTCATTATGATGAAAGAGAAATCGAGAAGTTCTACATGGAGCTAGAGAAGTTCTATAAAGAAGACCACACCTTCTACAAGATCATTGTGGGTGATTTTAATGCCAAGATAGGACCGAGAAGATCAGCTGAAGAACTTCACATCGGGACCCATGGCCTAGAATGGAATGAACAGGGTGAGAGACTGTCTGAGTTCATCATGTCGACCAAGACCATTCATGGTAACTCACAGTTCCAGAAGGCAGAATCTAAACGATGGACATGGGAGTCTCCCGGTGGACGATTCCACAACGAAATAGACCACATCATATTCAATCGACGGTTTTGCCTGACTGATGTCGCTGTTGTCCCAAAATTTCGAACGGGATCGGACCACCGTCTCCTTCGTGCAAAATTCTACTTCACAGAGCGGGGAGAAAGGGCTGCAAAGTTCAAAAAGAGAACTCCCAGAATGACCACCAACTGGGAACTCTTTGGTACTATTGCGGCAACATGGGAAGATGCCATTGTTGACAACATTGACGAGGAATACGATCGACTGGTTCAGCACCTCCATGAATGTGCGAGGAACGCCAAGAGAGAGATAGCCACAAAAAGTCGCCTATCTTCGAAAACTCTTGAGCTAATTCGCCAGCGTGGTTTGGCGCATGCCTCAGGCAACCGCAAACTAACGTCCGAGCTTGCAAAGCAGTGCAGAGATGCGATCAAGGAAGACCTCAAAGAGAGAAGAGCAGAAGTACTGGTAGATGCGGCAGAAGCCGGGAAAAGTATTCGTAACGCCCGCCTGTCCTTCGCCAACTATAAGAGCAAGATGACTGCCCTCCGACGTCCTGATGGATCCATCACATCCTCCAGAACGGCAATGGAGAAGATTATCCATGACTTCTACTCAAATCTCTTCGATAGCCATGTCCACTTGCCGACATACCAAATTCCACAGGATGGGTATGTCGTTCCTAACGTTCTCCCTTCCGAAATCCGACACGCCATTTCGTTGGTAAAGAAGCAAACAGCACCCGGCCCAGACAAGGTCAGACCTGAACACCTGAAGAACCTGCCGTCAGTACTCATCAATACACTGACTCGGCTCTTCACTCGCTACCTGTCTGAATGCAAGGTTCCATCCCAATGGAAAACCAGCAGGACCGTACTACTGTTCAAGAAGGGAGACATCCATGACATTGGCAACTATCGCCCGATCTGCCTATTGTCTGTCATCTACAAGCTGTTCACTCGAGTCATCCTGAATAGGATTGGCAGAACACTAGATGAAGGACAACCATGCGAGCAAGCAGGGTTCCGCAAAGGATTCAGCACCATCGACCATATCCACACGGTAACCAAGCTCATTGAGGTTTCTCGGGAGTTCAAGATGCCGCTCTGCTTAACGTTCATTGATTTAAAGAAGGCCTTTGATTCTGTTGAGACGGAAGCGGTCATTGAAGCCCTAGCCAATCAGGGCATTCAAGCCCAATACATCAGGATCCTCCGTGAGCTGTATTGCGGATTCACTACCAGGATCTCACCATTCTACAAAGAAGTGATCGTTAATGTCAAGAGAGGGGTGCGGCAGGGTGATACCATTTCACCGAAACTCTTCAGTGCCACCCTCGAGAACATCATGCGACGACTGGAATGGGAAGGAATGGGAGTGAAGATAGATGGTCGGCAACTACACCACCTCCGCTTTGCTGATGACATTGTTTTAATAACACCAAACATCAGCCAAGCGGCACAAATGCTGGCCGACTTTGACTGTGAGTGTGGAAAGGTAGGACTACAGCTGAATCTTACGAAGACAATGTTTATGAGAAACAGCCTTGTTCCTGACGCCCCATTCACTCTCAATGGAACGACCATCTCCGAATGCAACAGCTATGTGTACCTAGGTTGAGAGGTCAACATGACAAATGACCTGGCACCCGAGCTGCGCAGGAGGAAGAGAGCGGCTTGGAACGCCTTCAAGAACGTCGAAGAAATAGCTAAGAGGACGAAGAACCTCCGGCTCCGGGCACATCTCTTTGATTCCACTGTTCTTCCTGCATTAACATATGCCTCAGAGACCTGGGCCCTATGCAAACAAGATGAGAACGCCATTCAGGTCTCCCAAAGAAGAATAGAAAGAGCTATGCTTGGAATATCACGTTTCACTCAAATGAGAGAACGAATCCGGAGTTCTGACATCCGTCGACGATCAAGGATCAGGGATGCTGTCTCATATGCCAAGGTGTCGAAAATCAGATGGGCTGGTCACGTAATGAGATTTAAAGACGACCGTTGGACTAGAGCTGTTACTGATTGGATTCCACGGGATGTCAAGAGACCGCGTGGCCGCCCACCTACCAGATGGTCAGACTTCTTTGTCAAGATCATGAATGATCGGTTTGAGGCCCTCCATGTTCCCGGAGCGAAGAGATGCCATTGGGCTACACTAGCACGCGACAGGGACAAATGGAGACGTTACTGGCGCCCGCTCGAGCAAATCGACGACTAACGGGAAGTTAAGTGATTAAGTGATTAAGTTAAGGGGTCAGAGCGGTATTATAGAAGGTAGGGTTTGCATGTGGCTGACGGGGTTCAATCCTCAGCATCCCACATGGTCCCTAAGCCTGCCAAGTGTGATTCCTGAGTGCAGAGTCAGAAGTAAAAAAAAAAAACCCTGAGCACCATCGGGTGTTACCCAAGAACAGCAACAACAACAATAAAACATATTCAGTTAAATGTAAAATGAAAAGTTAAAACACGTGGGGCCGGAGTGATAGTATAGGAGGTAGGTCATTTCCCTTGCACATGACCAACCTGGGTTGGATCCCATTATCCCATACGATCCCCCGAGCACCACCAGGAGTAATTCCTGAGTGCAGAGCCAGGAGTAATCCCTGCAAATTGCCAGGTGTGACCGAAAAGCCGAAAAAAAAAAAAAAAGAATATGAAACATGTTTCAAAACTAAACCTTGCCCATTTTCCAGTAGAGGTCTTCCATGGGAACAAATCCAGGTAAGACCAGTTAAATCCTTCTCTCTCCCTCTGCTTCCCTCCCATTCATCCATATCCCTCACTGTGGTTTCTGTACTCTTCACATTCAAAGCCAAAGGAAGGGAATAAAAAGTGGGATCTCATCACCACTTGACTGGAACCCTGGTAGGCACTGTGTCTGGCCATTTGCACCAGCCTTTCACTGCCACCCTGCTCCTGCCCCAGGCCTTGCTTCTCTCTGAAGGTGATTTTGCCCTCAAGTCTTGGCTTTTTCAACAGATCACCCAGATATTTCCTGTGGGGGAGCTTTCATTATGCTTCCTGATGGCCACATTTTAAATATCTCCAACATGACTCTCCTCTTAGACTCAAAACTAACTGGAGAAACTTTCCCCTTTCCTTAATGCAGACTCTCTCTGAGAGGCTGGGCACCCAGCCACACCCTCTGTGCTTACTAGTCAGGCAGCTGACTCCAGGGTGTCTGAGCTAGAGTTTTCAGTGGAAAGTCAGGCTAGGCGTCCGACAGGTTCTAGCCCAGTTTCCCTTTTCCTGACTGTGATCCTTCTGATCTTGTTTCCTACTCATGCTTCCCTCTACTCTTCCCACTATCCCCCTCCCATCCTACTGTTGGCTCCCTAGTTTCATAGTGTGGCGCCTCATTTAGGTGATTTTATTTGTGGCCTTTGGAAATATTCTGGGGGCCCCAAAACAAAACAAAAAAGTCATTCTATGGAATAAAGCCAATAAAGATATTTCTTACACCTTCAACTTGCAGAATTCGAACTACACAGGAACATGTATATAGAATTTCTGGCATTTTTATCATTCAAATTTATGGGCATGTTCATTGTTTTATAAGAGGGAAAAACTGTTAAAACTATACTTATATCCTTAAGGAAAAATGCTGGCAGACTTCTTTGTTTATATTTCCAGTTATTTCTTTTAAAAGTTCCCTTCATCTATTACATTAAAAACCATATTCCATGGGGTATGGTGTCGCCAGCAGGTCAATCTGTACCTGTGAGGTGAGTGCATCAACAGCCTGATGGTGCCTTCAGACTTATAGATACACCAAAATTGCTGCTGTGCCTTTGGCCAGACCCCAAAAACTTGGGACAAAGTTTACCAAGAAAGTAAACCACCAAAAGTTAGGTATGTGGGAGAAATACCCACAAATCACCTCCGGCTCAGCTATATAATTGGAGGCGTGGCCTTTCTGGTTCCTGATCAAACTGCTTAATGGCCATGATCCCAGAGATTCAGAAACAAATCTCAAAACCCAACGGCTTTTGACAGAAATGCATCTGGTCCCTGCAGTAGGTTACCAGCGCCGGGCCACCACAAGTGGGAATAGATTTCATGCCTTGGCCTGTTCCCCCCAGCTGCCCAGTGGCTGTCATCCTTCAGAGGTCACTACAGTCAGGTTTGGGCCGGCAGTGATGAGACACGTGGGGCCTCATGGAATTCGAGTGGAGCTGGCCATTTCTTCCGCACCCCAATGAGACCCGGAGTCGCCGTCCACAAACAACCTCTCTGGATCCTGATCAAGCTGCTTAATGGCCGTGATCCTAGAGACTCTGAAACAAATCTCAAAACCCAGCGGCTTTTGGCAGAAATGCATCTGGACCCCGCAGTAGGTTAACTGTCGCCAGGCTACCCCAGGGAAAAAAGGGTGCCATTCCTCCGCCGGCTCCCCCTTGGCAGCTCGGAGGCCTCCATCTTTCAGAGGTCATTGGACAGTCATGTTTGGGCGCATAGTGACGAGACACATGGGGCCTCATGGGATGGGCCTTTTCTCCCCACCTAAACGAGATCCCAAGTCACCGCCCACAAACGGCCTCTCTGGCTCCTGATCAAGCTGCTTAATGGCCATGATCCTAGAGACTAAGAAACAAATCTCGGAACCCAGCAGGTTTTGGCAAAAATCCCTCCAGATTTAAGTGTTAAAATTTTGGAATTTCAAAATCGCGTGGCCTACTACTGCAGCCACACCACATCATATGTTATTCATAATCAGCAATAGAAAACAAATTGTCTACTGTTGCCTTTTCAGCAAACCTTAGTGTTGGGGTAAAATCCCAAATAATAATGGTGGGTTTGGTGGCAAATTATTGAATGTGATCAAAGTAGAGAGAGAGTAATGTGGAAATCATTTGCCCCACATGTAGGGGGAGGGTATGGGGTGGGGGTATACTGGGGATTTTGGTGGTGGAGGGTGGGTACTGGTGAAGGTACGGGTGTTTCATTGTATGACCGAGACTTAGACCCGAAAGCTTTTGATTTTCTCTCACTGTGATTCAATAAATAAAATTATAAGAAATGTAAAAGAAAAGAAAGTAAGGTGGAGTTCATGCCCAATTCAGTCAGCTGATCAGTGGCTGAATGGATAGCAGTACTCGTACATAAGGAAAAAAAAACATTCCAGGCCAGGGCTGAGACTCTGTAGCAAGGCATTTGTCTTGTATGTTTGATCCTGCTACTGCAAAATTGATCAATTCATTACATTCTAAAAGTCTCTTCAGGACAGCTTATCTTCCTCAATGTACTGAGCACATCCTTTAGCATGCAGGAAGTTCTAGTTTGAGTCCCCACACTGCATGATCCCCTGAACATTACCAGGAGTGACCCCTGAGCAGAGCTGGGAGTTGTCCCCAAGCACCACCAGGTGTGAACCAAACTAACAATAAAGTATCTTCATGTACTTGTCACTACTATAAAATATAGACTAGAGTCATGAAATAACTGCTAAATTCCAGAATGAATGTAATTCATGAGAACTTATAAAAGTCAAACACAATTCTTTTTCTGAAAGGTGGCAAGAAACCTGCCATTGACGACAGGAATGTGAAAGAGGCTTCTGGCAGTAAAGTGTGTGGACACGGTTTCCTTTCTGTATGCTAACACAATCTCTGCTTCAGCCTGATCACTCACCAGACTTCCATGGATTTAGCACCTAGACATATTTTTAAAACAAATATATACATTTATATGTGTATGTAGTATGTGTATATTGGACTTCTCAGCCAGAGATGACTCTTTCATTATTTATTGTTTTAATTGCAGGGCTAGGCGTGAACACTGGGAAAATCTGCTGCCAGCTACAGGCAGACCTTTCTGTCCTTCACTCTCAAATCCTGATGCCTAAGAGTAAGGAAGTAATGAAGGAAAAATGAAGGAGTAGTGATGAAGTAGTAGCAGAGTCATGGAGGAACAACAAAGAAACCCCTGCATCCCCCCTAGAGCCCTTCCCTGCCTTGATCTTCCATTCAGTTGCTACTTCCTTGGTGACTAACAACTAAGGTGCCACAGGCCCTCCAGGCTCTCCATGATGCTCAACACTCAGTTTTGTACTTCTGCTACAGTTAAGCTAATTCTATACTGGATGGGTAAACGATCATTGTATCACTGAAATGCGAACATGAAAGTTCATAAATTTATAACTGTACTTCACGGTGATTCACTAATAAAAAATAAATTTAAAAAAGCACTATTTTGCTTAAATAACTTGTATTATGACTCCAAAGTCATCCCAATATCAACGAGCAAAAAGTGAAGTAATGTTTTCATCAATGGGAAAACTATTGAAATCACTGTACAATTCTCTAACATGACTGCTTTCAAAGATGAGTTTACTTAATGGTGTTAGGTCCTAGGTCCTAGAACAGGTTTAATATGTTTTTATAATTACAGATAGCTAGATCACAAACGATCTAAGGACAAAGACTGTGGTAAGCACCTTATTCTTTTCTTAAAGTATTTAGGAATCTGAGACACAGCAACAGAATGCTTACCTTGCTTGTGTGAGGTCCTAGGTTCAATTCCAAGAAGGAAATAAGGAGGGAAGGAAGGAAGAAAGGAATGTAGGAAGGAAGGAAGGAAGGAAGGAAGGAAGGAAGGAAGGAAGGAAGAAGGAAGGAAGTTAGTTGAGGATAATACTAAAAGTTTAAACAACCTTTTTAATAATAAGAATTTAAAGAAAATTGCAAATAACTCAATTTTTAAATGAACAAAATTTCTGAATTAATGCTTCCCCCAATAATATATGCAGATGACTCCCAAACACATAAAAATGCTCAATATCAATTAATATTGAGAAAATGCATAATGAAATGCCACCTCATATAAGTGATAATGACCTATGTCAATAAATGTTGACAAGAACATTGGGAAAATAATTCTGGTACTCTTGGAAGGAATGTAAATTAGCACAGCCTCTGTGGGGAATAATATGGAGATTTTTTTTTTACTTTTTATTAGTGAAACACCATGAGGTACAGTTGTAGATTTACAAATTTTTGTGCTCGGGTTTCGATTATACAATGATCAAGTACCCATCCGTCCACCAGTGCCCATTTTCCACCACCATGGATCCCAGTATCCCTCCCACACCCATCCCCCATCCCACCCTGCCTCTGTGGCAGGGCATTCCCTTTTGTTCTCTCTCTCCTTTTGGGTGTTGTGGTCTGCAAAAGAGGCATTGAGTGGCAATCATGTTCAGTCCATAGTCTACTTTCAGCATGTATCTCCCCTCCTGGGAGGACCCTCCAAACACCCTTTATTTGGTGCTCCCTTCTCTATCTGAACTGCCCTTTCCCCTAGAGTGCCCAGCTGGCCTCTAAGCCATGGAGGAATCCTCCTGGTACTGATCTCGGCTATTCTTGGGTATTAATCTCCTATTTTGTTACTTTATGTCCCCCAGATGAATGCAATCTTTTTATGTCTATCCCTCTCTTTCTGACTCATTTCGCTTAGCATGATACTTTCCATGCAGTACCACTTGTATGTAAAATTCGTGACTTCATCTTTTCTAACAGCTACATAGTACTCCATTGTGTAGATGTACCAAAGTTTCTTTAACCAGTCATCTGTTCTTGGGCACTCAGGTTTTTTCCAGATTCTGGCTATTGTAAAGAGTGCTGCAATGAACAAGTGCAGATGTCACTTCGACTATACATTTTTGCCTGTCTGGGATATATTCCCAGGAGTGGTATTGCTGGGTCAAATGGGAGCACAATTTCTAATTTTTTCAGAATCGTCCGACATTCCCACCAACAGTGAAGGAGTGTCCCTTTCTTGCCACATCCGCACCAGCATTAGTTGCTTTTGTTCTTTTGGATGTGGGCCAGTCTCTGAGGTGTGATATTGTATCTCATTGTGGTTTTGATCTGCATCTCCCTGATGATTAATGATGTAGAGCATTTTCTCATGTGTTTTTTTGCCATTCGGATTTCTTCTTTGAGAAAGTTTCTGTTCATTTCATTGCCCCATTTTTTATGGGCTTGGATGTTTTCTTCTTGTGGAGTTCAACCAGTACTTTATATATCCTTGATATCAACCCCTTGTCAGATGTGTATTCGGCGAATATCCTTTCCCATTCTGTAGACTGTCTTTGAATTTTGGTCACTGTTTCTTTGGAGGTGCAGAAGCTTCTTAGTTTAAGATAGTCCCATTTATCTATCTCTGTTTTCACTTGCTCGGCCAGTGGCGTGACATCTTTGAAGATACCATTAGCTTCAACGTCATGGAGGGTTTTGCCAACTTTGTCTTCAATGCACCTTATGGTTTCCGGTCTGATGTTGAGGTCTTTAATCCATTTTGATCTTACTTTTGTGCCTGGTGTTAGGCAGAGTTATGAGCCCATTTTTTTGCATGTATCCATCCAGTTTTGCCAGCACCATTTGTTAAAGAGGCTTTCCTTACTCCACTTCACATTTCTTGCACCCTTACAAAGATTAGATGATCATATGATTGAGGGGATATGTCAGTGTATTCAACCCTGTTCCATTGGTCTGCAACTCTACCTTTGTTTCAGTACCATGTTGTTTTAATTATAACTGCTTTGTAGTAGAGTTTGAAGTTAGGGAGGTTGATTCCTCCCATTTTCTTTTTCCCAAGAATTGCTTTAGCTATTCGTGGGGGCTTATTGTTCCATATGAATTTCAGGAGTGTTTGCTCCATTTCTTTGAAGAATGTCATGGGTATCCTCATAGGAATTGCATTGAATTTGTACAATGCTTTGGGAAGTATTGCCATTTTGACAATGTTAACTCTCCCGACCCATGAGCAGGAGATATCTTTCCATTTTCTCATGTCCTCTTTTATTTCCTGAAGTAGCGTTTTGTAGTTTTCTTTGTACAGGTCCTTTACTTCCTTAGTTAAGCTGATTCCTAAGTACTTGATTTTCTGGGGAACAATTGTGAACAAGATTGTTTTTTTCATGTCATTTTCTTCTCTCTCACTGTTTGAGAATAGGAAAGCCATGGACTTTTAGGTATTGATTTTATAGCCAGCAACTTTACTATACAAGTTTATTGTTTCTAGGAGTTTCTTGGTGGAGGTTATAGGGTTCTCTAAGTACAGTATCATATCATCTGCAAATAGTGAGAGCTTGATTTCTTCCTTTCCTACCTGAATGCCCTTAATATCTTTTTCTTGCCTAATTGCTATTGCAAGTATTTCCAGTACTATATCGAACAGCAGTGGAGAGAGTGGGCATCCTTGTCTAGTCCCTGATTTTAGAGGGAAGGCTCTCAGTTTTTCCCCATTGAGGATGATGCTTGCTGTAGGCTTGTGATAGATGGCTTTAACTATGTTGAGGAAATTCCCCTCTATACCCATTTTGGCTAGGGTTTTCATCATAAAGGGGTGCTGGATCTTGTCAAATGCTTTCTCTGCATTTATTGATATGATCACATGGTTTTTATCTTTTCTTTTGTTGATATGATGGATTATGTTGATTGATTTCTGAACGTTAAACCATCCTTGCATCCCTGGGATGAATCCTACTTGGTCATGGTGTATGATCTTTTTGATGAGTAGTTGGATTCTATTTGCTAATAGTTTGTTGAGGATCTTTGCATCTGTGTTCATCAGGGATATCAGCCTATAATTCTCTTTTTTTGTGGTATCTCTGTCTGCTTTTGGTATCAGGGTAATATTTGCTTCATAGAAACTCTTCGGAAGTGTTTTTGATATTTCAATTACGTGGAAAATCTTAAAGAGGATTGGGAGTAAGTCCTCTTTAGAGATTTGGAAGAATTCACTAGTGAATCCATCCAGGCCAGGGCTTTTGTGCTTGGGGAGACTTTTTATTATCATTTCAATTTCCTTGATGGTGATAGGTCTGTTCAGGTATTCCAGGTCTTCTTGGTTCAGCCTTGGGAGTCTGTAGGAGTCTAGAAATTTATCCATTTCCTCGAGGTTTTGATGTTCCGTGGCATAAAGCTTCTCAAAGTACTCCCTGAGGATCCTTTGAATTTCTGTAATTTCTGTTGTAATGACCCCCTTTTCATTTCTGATTCTGTTTATTAAGGTTTTCTCTCTCCCTTTCTTTGTTAGTTTTGCTAGAGGCTTATCGATCTTATTAATTTTCTCGAAGAACCAGCTCTTGGTTTCATTGATCTTTCTAATTGTTTTTTGGGTTCCCATCTTGTTAATCTCTGCTCTGAGTTTTATTATTTCCTTCCTCCTGTTCTGGTTGTGCTCCTTTTGTTGGTCCTTCTCCAATCTCTTAAGCTGTGAGGTTAGGTTATTTATGTGGGCTCGCTCCTCCTTTCTGAGGAATGCTTGTACAGCTATAAACGTTCCTCTTAACACAGCTTTTGTTGTGTCCAATATGGAGATTCTTAAAAAATAAAAATGTAGAGCCTTTTACTCTATGGCTTGGAGGCCAACCAAACATACTAGGGGAAAAGGGAGCTCAGATAAAGAAGGGAACACCAAATAAAGGTGTTGAGAGGATCCTCCCAGGATGGGAGAAGCATGCGGAAAGTAGACTATAGACTAAACATGATTATCACCCATTGCCTCTTTTGCAAACCACAACACCCAAGAGAGAGAGAGAACAAAAGGGAATGCCCTGCCACAGAGGCAGGGTGGTCCAGGGAGGATGGGGGGTGGGAGGGATACTGGGATCCGTGGTGGTGGGAAATGCGCACTGGTGGAGGGATGGGTATTTGATCATTATATAATTGAAACCCAAGCACAAAAATGTGTAAGACTGCAACTGTACCTTATGATGTCTCACCATTAAAAATTTTTTTAATAATAAAAAAAATGTAGGGCCTGAGAGATAGCACAGAGAGTAGAATGTTTGTCTTGCTTGTGACTAATTTGGGTTCAATCACCAGCACCACATATGGTCACCTAAGCTTCACCCGGAATGATTTCTGAGCACAGAGCCACGAGCACAACTGGATATAGCAAAAAAAAAAGCAAAAAAAATTTAACTTTAATAAAAATGAAATTTTATATGATCTAGCAATACCTCTCCTAGGAAGATGTGAGAAGGATCTGAAAGCACTAATGAAAGGACATCTGCATCTCTATGCTCATAGCAGCGTCATTCCACAATAATGGGAACATAGAGTCAACCTAAATCCTAAGTGCCCATAAACAGATGACTGGATAA